GATTGATTAGCATACTGATTAGTCATTTTACAGCTGCTGGGGTACCCGACAGGAGGCCCGTCGCGCGGCAAGAAGGCAGAGTCAGCGGACGAGTCGCAGCGCGTGTGTGCGATGTAGGACGTACAATGGTACATTCTATTTAACTTGACGCGAAATCCCTACAGTACGCGCTGCAACTCGTCCGCTGACTCGCCTTCTTGCCGCGCGACGGGCCTCCTGTCGGGTACCCACAGCAAACTTCAGATGACTAAATAGTATGCTCAGTGCTCATCAATACTCAAAAAATACCTTAATTTGCCATGCACATTCGAATAGTCCAAGACTGAGATCCATTTGTTTAATCGATGCTGAGATATTTGAAGGGCTGATCAGCTTCCCACCGCATCCTGCAAAATCAATATATCGCTTTTTCCACCAGAAGATTTCTTCAGAAGTGAAGTGAACGTACCAATTGTGGTCCATGTGAGCCAAAAGCGGTTCTGTTCATTTTTCTTTGACTGATAAGTGATGTGCAGTATGTTGTGTTTGCTCTAAATACACATGTTTAGAACTTCCAGTTGTGGTACGTAATTGCACCAAATTCGGAACTACAGTACCTTAACAACGATAGGCTTGACAACATCGGAACAGGTCTCGGTCAACTTGAACTCCTGTCTGATGCATCGCCAACCTTCACAGTTGCCGCATCTACTTCGTCGTCACCAAACTATAAAATCCATGTCTCAGAAATTCTGCACCAATCAATAATCGATCGATTACCTTGAGCCAATTTTCAGAGCATTTTCCAGGTGTGTTGCCGTAGCGGAAACGTTTTTCGATGACGAAGTTGTGGAAGTTGACTTGAACACGGTTTCCAGGCGGGAGCTGCGTAAAAGTACGTTAGGCATGATTGAGGTGACATCAATGAAAAGTGACTCATACCGAGATCGTCCAGTGGCAGTACTGACTTGTCCAGACTTTATTCGGATAACCAGGTGATTGAATTGAGCCCGTGAAGTCGGTCAGCACGATATCCGTGCACACTAAAAGGTCCAATTGGCGAAAGGACATGGAAAGTCTTTATGTCGCACAACACACACATTCCACACTGGTCGTATGGGTGGAGTCCCTACGCCCTTTATTGGCCCCCTGCCCCTTCCCAACCCCTCAGGATGATAAAGACAAGCAGCGCAATAATAGATAAGTGCAATCCTGTGACGCTCTGACTCCGCCCTCTGCATACGATGAGCGAGGAACTCTGCCTTCAAATTTCAAGTTACCTGTAGAGAAGTGAGCCATGAATCCATAGAGTGGACCGAGCATCGGTCCACCGTGTTGTTTGTATCGTATGGAGATTTCATGATCCTCAGACGTCAGCGGTTCAGCTCCGACCACCTTACGGCAGTATCGGCGCATAAGACGAGCATCGCTGTGGGGTCCGTCGAGTACCTGAGGAAACGAATATTTGGGTTGAACAGCTGAAAGTATGTGAGTCAGAGTTAAATATCAATGAGTCAGCATAATGGAGAGTCAGGAGCAAAGGATAGATGATTATCAAAGGATGCACACGTCCATAAAAAACTAGGGAGCTCAATGCCAGAAAAACATGATAATAATACTTATCTCTGCATATGGCAAAAATCCAACCCCTTCGTGTACTATCCACTTATATTTCTCGCAAGGGTATATGGTACCTATCAGGCACACAGCGTTCACCTTCAGGCCATTTTCCCGCCCTCGGGTTCTCATAAAATAAGTTTCTCCATCTCCCCCCCTCATTCCCCAAAAAAAAACACAATCTTAGTGAATCCCTTCGATTGATAGAAGGTTCTGGTATGCGGTTTTTGATAGAATGTTCTCGTTTTTTACGAGATACGGTAGACACAGGAAAAATGCCCTTGATAAGAGCTGATAATACGTAGCTGCTGATGGACATCAGTGAGCTGGCACTTCCCAACCAAGGGAAGGTTATTGGTGATACCAGAAGAGCCTCATGAAAGAATACGCCAGTCTTAGCTCGCAATAGGGATGAAAACCTCCTTGTTTTCAGCTGACACTGCACCTAAATTTCTCTGTCCCAAGGATGCCTGAAAACAAAGCTTCTTTCCGAGCTGCTTGGACACTTTATCACTTTTCCATTATGTCGGCGTCTCCCTTTCTCTGTTTACCGTATTAACCCTTAACGAGAGAACTGAGAATACAGCATCCTGAACGACTTACATCAAGCCGATTAGCGGCGAACATGCCGCAAGAATCCGTTGTCATCACTAGACTTCAAGTCGTCGATGTTCACAAGGGAGAAGCGTACACGATTACCTGAAATTTTCAAAGCTATGAAGCATTTTACGTGGCCACCATTTCCTGGAGCTCCAGCTTCAGAGAACCTGAAGCATGAAGCTTGCTTGCACCCAAAACCTGCCTAAAGCCACAGCTACAGTCCATGAGCAATCCAAACCACGCGAGTCCTTCAATGGGTACTGTGGTGCAGCTATGGATCCAGAGATACCTTCGACATGACCACCACAGGCTGAAAACAAGAACCGGTTGTAAGGAATAAACGACAAAATGTGGGGAAAACGCTCACATGAAATTATTTGTTCGTAGCTGATGTTAAAGAAGGTCTTGGACGAGTCTGTGGTTTGTAGCCTGAGCAGCACTCGACTGCCATGCGAACGAAGCGTAGGCATTGGAAAATCGTCGCAAACTGAGGAGTCAGCGTTCAGTGTAGCGAAACCTGGCGATTGTTCAGCGGCACCATTTCTAAAATATGGTTAAGAACGACAATCTGATTCTATTGTAATTGCGATAGATATAATCGGTGCTTGATAAGACGTTACACCGGAACAGAAGCGGGTAATGGGGTTCAGTTAACCCATTGCGGACCGCGTGCTGCACATGGTGCAGCACGCCACCACGCGGAGAAGGACAGTAATCTGATTTTTTCAGCATTTTGAAAGGTTACAAACTCATGAGTTTATTTTTTT